CGTCGAAATACTGGAGGAAGGACTCTTGCCACTTTATTCCTCGAGTTTCGTGGACAAGAACACAACGTTGTTCCAGGAAGATGGAGCACCGTGTCACACTGCTAGAAACACCCAAAAGTGGCAGGAAGAAAATGGTATCCGGAAGTTGCCCTGGCCGAGCCAATCTCCTGACATGAACCCCATCGAAAACCTCTGGGACATACTCGACCGGCAAGTCAAGAAACAACAACAAAAAACAACTTCGAAGAGCGATCTACTCCAAGTTTTGAAGCAAGAGTGGGCGAAAATCCCACAATCTAAAATTGACGAAATGATTTTCATGATCCCCCAAAGAATCAACGAACTCCACGAAACGAAAGGAATATGTACTAGATATTAATTAAATTGTAAATATATCAATTCATGTGAATATGACTGAAAAATTTCATTTTTTCTGAAAAGGTGGTGTCTATTTACTTGTGACTACGCTGTGTAGAAGGCCTCCCAGTGGCACAGCTCTATGTCTGCGGATCAACAACGCCAGAAACCGGGTTTTGATACCTGTACTTGGCAGTGCACAAATAGATCATTATGTAGTTTTGTGCTTAACTTCAAACAAACTTTTGCAGGATGTTAGTTGAATTTTCTAATTCCAGTAGTTAATTTTGAGTTTATCTATTTACATGTCTGTTAATATAAACTCGTAATCTCCCTTTAGAAAAATGTGAATACTTTGAACAGTGTACGATTCTCTCCTTAGAAAGGATTTAATACACTTTTGGAAACGAACTCACAAGATAATACGTATATATGCATTTAGCTAGCTTTGATAAAAAGTTACTGTAAAGAACACTCGATAAAAATGTCATTTTTATATGACTGATTATTTGAATTTTAGATGTCAGAAACATGTTAACTATAATGTTTATATATATTTTATTTGGCTTTGTATTGAAATGTAAGAAACCTTTCCAGATTATAGTTCTACAGCACTAGAACATATTTTGTAATTTTCATTTTTCGGAATGAATGGTAAGTAGGAATAATTTAAACTAGAAAATTGTAATATTGTTTTATTATAAGTCTCTGCTATTCAGAACACCTGATTTGCTTCTTTTCGTCATTAATTTTTATATATGTATTCTTAAAAAGCTTTGTCCCACAGTTTAATCATATTATACAAATTTGTAAACTTTGTCTTACAGAAGGATACTACTATAATAAACACTTTTTGGTAAGGCTTAAAAAATAGGTATTTTTTTGGTAGGATCACATGATACATCCTTGGATGGACGCTAGAAACTTTTGTAGTCATGCAGTAAATAGCAGTTATTTCGGTCACTTAAAGTAGTCCAAC